AAAATATGCTAATTGTGGAACTAAGAGAAGTAGAACATGAGAGAGATGATCTAGTAGTCGTAGTGGCTGATTTAAAAGAAATCATTGAGGTTTTAAAAAGGGAAAATTAAGCTTTAACTAAAAAGATTGCGAATGTAGAGCATAAGAGAGATGACTTGTTGGTAGTAGTTGTGGATCTAAAAGAAACAATTGAGGAATTAAAAAGGGAAAGCAGGTTTGGGAACACTCAAAAGAGAAAGGAAGTTACAAGTGAGGTGTAATGACCCGGTCAACCATTTTGAGAATTGTATCTCCGTTCCCCCATTTCCTACTTTTTTGTGATCTACAGCTGTATTATGACTTACCGGGTTAGTTGGTTCGGGTTCGGAGTGACTTTAGAGTGAATTGAGACAATTAGTCTCTTAATTGAAAGCTTAAGTTGGAAAAAGTTGACCAGATGTCGACTTATGTATAAACGACCTTGGATTTGAATTTTGATGGTTTCATTAGCTCCTTTAAGTGATGTGGAATAACATATATGCCGATAATATCTACTATAATCCGGATCTGGAGTCACAACTCACGAGCTTCTAAGATTTTTTACAAACAGTCTGAAAGAAATACAACTGTTTTGAATGAAAAGAATAAGTAAAATAAGGAAAATAGAAGAGGACTCCAAGGTCTGCGGACGCCAAGAGATCTACCTCGAGTCTCCAATGAGGAAATCCAAGCAGCTACGCCTCACAAACAGCTAGGGCTGGTACCAAAGTCTGTACAAGAAGTGCAGAGTATAGTATGAGTATAACTGACCCCATGTATTCGTAAGTGTCGAGCCTAACCTCGACGAAGTAGTGACGAGGCTATGACAAGATACTCACATAATAAACCTGTGCAGATAACATTATATGTACAAGATAACAAATAAAAGCTAAACTTGTACTATTGGGAAGGGGACATGTTAAGGGGATACAAGATACGAGAGATATAGCGGAAATGATAACCAGAACAATCAATATGCCTTCAACCAGTGAAAACAATTAAGAACAATGAAGAAAATTACACGACATCACCCTTCGTGCTTTTATTCTCAACCTCACAATGAAACAATGATTCTGCACGGTATCACCCTTCGTGCTTTTACTCTCAACCTCACAATGAAACAATGATTTTGCACGGTATCACCCTTCGTGCTTTTACTCTCAACCTCACAATGAAACAATGATTTTGCACGGTATCACCCTTCGTGCTTTTACTCTCACTCTTAGTACAATCAATAGATACGACACGACATCACCCTTCCTGTATTAACTCTGATAACATGGCACGACATCACCCTTCGTGCATTAACACTCACAATATGGCATGGCCTCACCCTTCGTGCATTAACACTCACATATGACACGACATCATCCTTTTTGCATTAACACTCTCCCTTACACATAACAATGAATAGATAATAACAGGGAGATAGGATCAACAAGAACATGTCTTACTTCAATAATGGTTCCACAATACCAATCTCAACTTTAGAGTCAATACTCAATTATCACAAGCCCATAAACACGGGAAGAACGATCGATTTAACCAATAACTAGTCTAAGCATGGATAACATGATCAAAGTAAGCAATAATTGCAAGGAATAAGTTCCGCCATAAGCTTTAACCCGGCAACAATGCATAAGTACTCGTCACCTCATATATACATTGTACCCAACATCTAAACATGTAGCAAATAGACAAACAAGTCCTAATCCCTCAAGTCAAGGTTAACCATGACACTTACCTCGCCCCAAAGGTCCACTCAAAGCTCAACCACAACTTTGCCTTTCAAACAAGCCTCCAAACCAATTGAATATAGCAAATTACCATCCAAACGAATCAAATTAAACCTTAGAAACTACCTACAATTGCAAAGGATTCAATTTAGGTCATTATTGAAAAAGTCAACAAAAGTCAACTCCCGGACCCGCTTGGTCCAAACCCGAAATTCGGACCAGAACTTGAATTACCCATTCACCCCCGAGTCCGGTTAAGTAATTTGTCTTGAAATCCGACCTCAATTTGAGGTCTAAATCTCATTTTACAAAAATTCCTAATTCAACCCAAACCCCTAATTTTCACCATGAAAGCACAAGATTTTAGGTTGAAATCTTAGGAAATGTAGTGAAAGATTGAAAGAAAATAGATTAGAATAACTTATACTAATGATTTGGGGAAGAAGGGTTCTCGGGAAAATCGCCTCTAGTATTTTCTTGTTTTGAAAATATGAAGAATGAACAAAAATCCCGTCTAACTCCTATTTGATTAGTCGCAGATGTCGCATTTGCGACCTGGGGTTCGCAAATGTGAAGAAACAGTCGCAAATACAAAGTCCTTCCATTTATGTTATCATCGCATTTGCGAACATTGATCTTTCACAAATGTGACCGTTTGATCGCAATTGCGATCAATGTAGCCCCTGTCCCACTATGCAAATGCGAAGTCTTGTTCGCAAATACGAACTTGAGGTGCCCCAGCTAATTTTCGCAAATGCAATGAGTTGCTCGCAAATGCGAACCTATCAGAAGTCCCAAATGCGAAGCCTGACCTCGCAATTGCAAGGTCTGAGGCCTGCACCAGATCTGAAACACACTAGCACATTCCTAAGTCCAAATTTCACTCTATAGCCTATCCGAAACTCACCTGAGCCCTCAGGGCTCTAAACTAAATATGTACACAAGTCTAAAAAAATCATACCAACTTGGTCGCGCGATCAAATCGCCAAAATAACACCTATAACTACGAATTGAGCATCAAATCAATGAAAATTTTCAAGAAACCCTCATGAATTTCTTATTTCACAACCGGACGTCTGAATCACATCATACCAACTCCGTTTCTCAACAAATTTGACAGACAAGTCATAAATATATTATTGGACCTATACCGAGTTCCGGAAGCAAAATATGGACCGGATATCCATAAAGTCAAACATTGGTCAAACTTTCAAAGTCATTAAGCTTTTAAACTTTCAAATTTCAACAAAGTGCGATAACTCGGGCTAGGGACTTCTGAATTCTATTCCGGGTATACGCCCAAGTCCCAAATCACGATATGGACCCACCGAAATCGTCAAAATGTAAATTCGGGTCCGTTTTCTCGTTGACTGAAGTCAATTAAAATAAATTTTAAGGCAAAATTTTCATATTTTCTCAGTTTTTAACATAAAAGCTTTTCGGAAAAATTTCTAGACTGCGCACGCAAATCAAGGAGGGCTAAGATGAGATATTTAAGGCTTCAAAGCGCAGAATTAGGTTCTAAATTATAAGATGACCTATCGGGTCATCACACGTAATAGGGTTTAGAATGTGGAATTGAAAGTTGCTCCAACACACCGTGACAATCACCACCGACCAGTAATTCAAGCCGTGGTTCATTTGTTCTCTTCAACTTCCGCAACACGAATAAGTAATTTCTCATTTTACAATTTACGTGCTATCTCATGTTTTCAGATAATCGCTTTCCTTCAATGTTAATCGATTATATGTACTTAACTACAAAGTGTCCCATTAAAAAAATAATATTTGTCCATATTAATTAGATTTAACTTATTTTTGTCTCCCACACAACTCTGAATACATTCTCCATGTCACCTCAACACCCAAGGGGATATATATTCCGTTTCAAAAAGTCCAGAGAATAATAGGACCCCCACAAAGAATAAGTGTGTAATTAAAATTCGAGACATGTTCAGAGGATTTTTATGCTTTCCCCATAAACCCAAAAAGAAATATAAGACGCATAAAGATGATGTGACCAAACCCAAAATCAAAGAACGCAAATGACCAATTTAATGCTGAATGTTTCTATTGTAAGAAAAAGGACATTGGATGAGAAAGTGTAAGGAGTATATTGCAACTCCAAAGAACAAGAAACAAGGTAAAATTTTAATGAAAAATATCAGAATGAACAAGTTAAAACTTAAAAACCTCTTAAACTATCACCATTTTGCAAGTTTTATACCTAAACTACCGGGTGTTTACAGAACCCTCGTGAACTACCATAAACTCAAAATAATATATCCTATGGAGGAATATAACTTACTAACATCACGCTCCAAACTCCTCCAAAGAGTTTCAAGTAACATAAAAATTTGAGTGAATAGATAATCCCGTCTAAACTTATTCACTCAAGATGGTCATCTTTTGCATTGGTACCTACTGTGTCTAGTTGATTTATCGAACATGAATTAGGTCGTTGCTTGAACTTTTCACTCTTGAATCTTGATTTGTAGGTTCAATCATTATCTTCTACTTCACTTGATTTTAATGTATTTTGCAATGTGTGTGTGTATATATATATATATATATATATATATATATATATATATATATATATATATATATATATATATTTGATGGTTAATATTTAAAACTGATTTTTACTTAATTTAAACGAAAAGGAGGAAGGGAGGGGGCTGGTGAAAATAAGGGGTTTTAATTAATTGCTAAGTGGTATTTTGTAATTTTAATAGGAATAAACTGAAAGTCCAAAATGAGCCGTTAGTGAAAAAAAGTAATATTAGCTCTAATCATCAAACGGAGGGCAGAACCAATAATTTCGTAAACCACAAGAGAATTTTATTTCCTTTTTATTTTTCTATCAGTTTTATAACGGTGAGAGCATGATTGACCCCAACTTTAAATGGAGGGTAAAATTAGGTCATTTCGAAAATCACAAGGGCGATTTCGACCTTTTACCCAATTTAAATGATGAATTTTTTGATGTTCCAAAGAGCTCTTTCGTTATTACTTTAGAAAAGGACGAGAAATTAATTTTAAAGTTATAAAGGATATTTTTATTTATAAGGGTAATATGCAAGAAGAAAAGAAAAAACTAACCAAATACTGGAGACATGAAGCGGCCGATGTTGCTCGACAGATTATTCGAAAATATTATTCTAGTGGGGTGAGATTTGAATTCACGGAAAAGAACGGCGATGGTCTCCAGTAACATGTGTTGACGTAGAAGCAGAAGAAGCGATGGTTACTGTAATCACCAATGCATTCCCTTCCCACTCCATTTATGGCGAGGAGACAGGTTGGCACAATCGCGATAATTCTCTTATTCCTAATCACTTTATCTGGGTTTTGGATCCCATTGATGGAACTTCAAGCTTTGTGGGGAAAGACTCGTCCGCTTTTGGAATACTAGTTGCTGTAATCTATAATGGAAGACCAATAATCGGTTGCATCGATCATCCAATTTTGAAACTCAGATGGATGGGCATTAGGGGGAGAAGAACCACTGTTAATAGCGAACAAGTGTCGACAATGGATTGTCATGACATGGCAAAAGCTTGTGTCCATCTCAAGGGACCAAACTACAATGACGATGCTAAGCAAGGATATGATTGCATCTCCTCCAGGGTGGCTAAGAAGTTCTTTGATCGCAACTGTATTGCTTATGGTGAATTGGCCTCTGGATTCTATGATGTTGTCGTCGATTGTGCTCTAGATCCCTTTGACTTTCTTGCTCTTATACCTATCATTAATGGTGCTGGAGGAGTTATTACGGATTGGCAAGGTCGTGAACTTCTTTGGAGTCCCTTGCGTATGATTCCTGAAGGCGGTTTTAAGATTGTGGGTGGCAGCTGCTGGAAAGCACATTCATCAACAAATTGTTCGAGCACTGTCCTCTAAATAATAGCAAATTCACCCAGACACTACCATTTAATGGATTTTGCTTCCATTCACAATTTAGCTTTTCTATTAGCTTTGGATAAGAGGTGTGGCCACCATTTAAGCTTATGAGTTCGGAATTATAGCTTTTTTAAGTTATTGGATTCCAAAATAATAAAATATAGAAGGTATTTTTTTTTTTCTATAGATACAGGTATTATCCTCTTTAACTAGATTTTTGGATTTTCAAAAAGTAGCAAGAGAAATTTTATTAAAAAAAAAAATCAATCTGGTAACGACATACAAGTTAGCATACATAAATAAAAATTCCAATTTAGAATCTATTGGTTACAAATAAAATAGACTAAGGCTTTTGCGAATCAACTTTTGGGCCAAGTTTAGATCAGACAAATTCCTTCTATAGAAAAAATCATTTTCAGAAACCACTATTGTTTATTGTTTAGTAGCTATTAATTTCTTATAACTACCATATATATAATTACTCCTATAACTACTATTCAGTTGTTACGGTAATGTATTCGCTGTATTCGCGCTACTGTATTCATGAATACAGTAGCAAAAAGTCGCCTAAAAGGTAGTCCAACTGTACATATATGTATTTACGTATATTCGCGCTATGTATTCATGAATACAGTAACGACAATCACCTTAAAAATAGGTCTGTCCAGCTGTATAATAACGGAAAGAGGATTAATTAATGTGATACACCCCTAATATAACTCAACAAAATCAATTCTACTATGCCTTATTATCAACCCAAATAATTGAAATTATTTTTCAGACACTAAACACAAAAACAAAAGCATTGTATATTCAGTTTCAACAAGACACAATCTGCAGAGCTTCAGAGATTCAGTCAATTTTTTTTCTACTATAGTTCGTGGTTTTGATTTGACTGTCATTGATAGAAATTTTTTCTGTCTTGAATTGATACAATTATCTACAGAATATTTAATAACTCGATTTACTAGATGCCACGATCAATTTCCATAATAGGACATGATGACGCCCAACACCGTTGTCAGGCCAGCCAACGCGGAAATATTCGTGAATGCTTATTTTACTTACCAAAAGCAGTTATAACACTTTCTTAATTTAACAATTTAAAACAGGTGATGATAAGCAATATTTAATAATAATTATACAACTCAAAAGAACTGTCTCCTAATGTGTGTGCCAAGACCTTGTGTCACAAGTAGTGGGCAACTAGTAGAATATACAAAAGAATAAAACTATCCTACTATCCGAGATAGAATAGATAGCAAAAGTAAAGAAAGACCCCATCAAGCTGTTGAACGGCACATGAAGGGAACAACGCACCGTGGAAGTCTCGGTCTATGAATCAGGGGCATGCACCAGTTTGATAGCCAGATATACCTGCCTCAAATCCTGTACAATTAAGTATAGAAGTGTAGTATGAGTACATAAACAATATGTACCCAGTAAGTATCCCGTCTAATCTCGAAGAAGTAGAGACGAGAGGTCGACGTGACACTTACTAGGGTCAAGTAATATAATAAAGTGTTCTGCTAGGCATGGCAGTCACAAAGAATCTACAGTTTGTAGTAAGAGGTAATAAGTCATGTTCTTAATAATTTTACAGTTAACCGTATTTATTTCAAGTATTCAGCAGAATAAGTCATGGATAAGATTTCACACACACACACACACACACACACACACACACACACACATATATATATATATATATCATGCGCACATTATGCCGAGGTCGATGGCCCGATCCAACAGAAAAATAACTGTGCACTGCCAGAGGGTCGAATGGCGCGAACCATAGATGCATCTATTTCTACCGAGGCGATCAGCTAGATCCACAAATATCAATTTAATATCAAGAAAACAGATGAATGCACATTTATTTCCAGGTAAATTCATACAAGTGTATATATTCGCTTATATTCCTTTCCAAGTCCCTAGCATGTCCTAAGAGATCACATTAGCAAGAAAATATAGAGACATTTATAAGTATAGCATGATACGAGTCCTAGACTATCCGGACGATTAACATAATAGTAGCTACGCACGGACTCTCGTCACCTAGTGCATACGTAGCCCCCACATTTAGTAGCAAATTACTCAATTATTACACCTATGGGGACAATTCCCTCTTACAAGGTTAGAAAGGAGACTCACCTCGCTCTAAAGTGCACTTCCAATACCAAGAACGAGCCCAAACACTCAATTCGGAGCCGAACGATCCAAACCTAGTTAAATGAGGTAGGAACTAGTCAATATAAGCACACAAGATCGAATTCTAGCTATTTAAGCCATTTCCCAACTATTAATACAAGTTTCCTAAAATCCGACCCCCCGCCCACGTGCCCGGATTCCAAAATTTTCCGATTTCTAAAACCTAAGGATCAATAATATATGATTTCTAATCCACTTCATAACCAATTTCGTGGTAAAATCTAAGTTTTATTAAAACTCTAGCTATTTAAGCCATTTCCCAACCATTAATACAAGTTTCCTAAAATCCGACCCCTGGCCCACGTGCCCAGATTCCGAAATTTTCCGATCTCTATAACCTAATGATCAATAATATATGATTTTTAATCCATTTCATAACCAATTTCGTGGTAAAATCTAAGTTTTATTAAAACCCTAGGTCTAGCTCTAACCCCTTGATTTCTCCAAATCTTTAGGTGTTAATCTATCCAAAACTCGAGTGTTAAACTTAGAAATAAGGGGGATGAACCTACCTCACGATGCTATGTGGAAATCCCTTCTCAAGAGCTCCAAAATCGCTCAATACCCGTGTGCTAAATGGTCAAAAATGGCTGGAGCTCGACTTAAATGAAGCTCACTGCCTCAGCAGTTTCCGCATCGGTGGTTAGGGGACCGTATCTGCGGTCCCGCATCTGCGAGAGGAGACCACATCTGCAGAATTGGCCAAAAGGACTGGGACCGCTTCTGCGGCTATGGAGCCGCTTCTGCGGTTTGGCCTGGTCAGCTTTGGACATCTGCGAGGCTACGACTGCTTCTGCGGTCTCGCACCTGCGGTCGACCAACCGCAGGTGCAGTTATGGCAGAAGCAGATGCTTCAGCACTTCTCCAAATTTCCAACTTCACTCGAGCCTCGTCCGTTTGACGCTCGGGGCTCCCGAGCACCATCCGAACATACTGACAAGTCTGAAATCACTAGACGGACCTACTCAAACCTTCATAACGCCCGAAACAACGCTAAATCTAAGAATCACCCCCGAAAACCAAATGAATCAAACTTATGAACTTTAAGTTCTTAATTTTCCTCTAACGAGCCGAAACGCCTTAAAACTACTCGGATTGGCACCAAAGTTTTTGGGCAAGTCTTAAATAATATATCGGATCTGTACCGGGCTCCGAAACTAACATACGATCCCGATACCCATGGAATAAATCATTAATTAGTTTCTTTAAATCCCTAGAATTTCAGTTTAACAATTTCCAATAAAAAATTTATTACCCGGGCTAAGGACCTCAGAATTCGATTCCGGGCATACGCCTAGGTCCTATATTTTCCTACGGACCCTCCGGGACCGTCAAAACACGAATCCCGGTCCGGTTGCTAAAAATTTTGACCAACGTCAACCTTAGCCTTTTAAGAAAATCCTAAGGAATCAAATGAGCATATTTCAACCCAAACTCTTCTAAATCCCAAACCAACCATCCCCGCAGGTCGTAAATTAGTTTAAGCAAGTGCGAGAAGTTTTATTTAAGGAAACGGGGTTCTAAAAGGTAAAATAACCAGTCGGGTCATTACATTAAATAGCAAGCTTAACAATGCTAATTCGTCATTCTGGGAAGTGGAACATTGAAAATTGTTATGTCGATTATTCTATTAAGGGGATATTGATAAAGGAGTATATGTCGTACAATGATTTTGTTGCTTCAATTTTGAAGCAACTTGACATAGATTTTAGCTGAAATTGAATACAAAGTGGAAGAAAATTGCACGCCTATGGAAATACACAACAACATAGGTTTCAGAGTATATGTAGAGTTGAAAAAGGAGAACGAAAAATTCGGGATGTATCCATTGTGTATAACTATATTGGATAAAGAAATTGTAGATGGAGGAAGTCTAATTCAAAGTGACCTAATGTAACTTGACTCTACAGATGGTGTGAATACATTCTATACAGTTTATACACTTGCACTTGCGTTATTAAACTCAGGTGAATCAATTGAGATTTTCGAACCGGAAAGGGATTTGATTATTTCAAGTACTAATCAAAAAGAGGTGATGCTTGGACAAGTATTTAAGGATAAGGCCATATTGAAGGTAGTGATAGAGAAATATGCAATTGCTGAAAGGTTTCAATTCCGAGTTGAGGTCAAATGCTATCAAGTTTGAGTGCTATTACATACAACAACTTCATAATATATGTTGTATACAACTGTATGTGTGTGTATTCATAATAGTTTTATACTGTATTCATAATAACATATTATGAATACATCATCTATTAGGTTGTATTCGTAATATATGTTGTCTTTCATAGTATGTCTCTGTATCAGTATTTTTAAAAAATGTGTTGAAATAATTATAGGAGAAGTGAACCATGTATATTAGTGTATTCAACATTGTGTATATTGTATTCATGTAACATACATTGTATTTCATTATATGTTTATATATTCAAATCTTTGTTGAAATATAAAAATGTTATGTGTTTGTGGTTAGAAAATAATTAGCTGAATCAGATGTAGAAGTAATTCTCCAGCTGTACTCAAATATGCATAATGTGTCATGACCCGGAATTCTCACCTTCGGGAGCCGTGATGGAGCCTAACATTTCAGTCAATTTCAGTCAATTTTTAACAATAGAAACAATGAAGCTATACAGAAGCTAAAACTGAATTTTCGGAATAATATAAAACCCAATATAATTGATACAATTCAGATATGGAGTCACAATTCACGAGCTTTTAAGATTTACTACAAACAAAGTCTGAAAGAAAATACAACAATTCTGAAAGAAAGGAAACAGTATAAT